AAAAAAGAGCCGAATGTAAAGGGATAAATTCTCAATAAAACTCAAATCAGTTTACCTTCAGGAGGCACCCAAGTAGTATAATCAGGCTCATCAACAAAGGCGGGTTTATCAGGGCCCAACACCCGTTTGGCCTTTTTCCCCTCTTTCTTTCCTTCTTTCTCGATCAAAACATCTCCACTAATCGACCCATCTTCCTCCTCTGAAGCATGGTATCCTCTTGAATGCCTCAATAACAATGCCACAGCATCTTCTGCCTTAAACCCCGAGCCATTATTGTTATTAGTCTCTTCAGGATCTTTGGCCTCACTAGCTTTTGACTTCTCGACTTGCTTACGTTTTCTAATTATCAGTCCAGGTGCAGCATCTTCTATTCCCTGGTCCCCTGACAAAGATTCTGTTTTGATCAGAATTTTTTCCCTGTCTTTGTAGTCTACAAACTGATCAGCTGTGTCCTGTGTATCTACAGAGACCTCTCGAGTAGTTTCTTGCTTTTGCGTGTCCTCAACAGCACCAAGCCATTGAGGCTTAGCAACGGTAAATACAGTAGGAGTACCACTCTCTTCACTTTTCAACTCCGGATCTTCTTTCTTCACGTCAGGTTCTGATATTGAGTTGGCATTGGTTTTCTCTTGACTGGATTTGACTGGTGAGGCTACTGGGCCTAATTGCTTATTTTTGCTTGATGAGGGGCTGATTTCCAGATTATTTTGGGGCAAGGGTCGATTGCTCGTGTCTAAAGAGGGTTTCTTGCTCACTGTCGTTTTAGGATTTTGGAATTTGGATTCTCTTTTCTTAGCTGCTTCTCCGGTTGGGTCCGCTATTCTCAGCAAATAGAGAATCCTATCCAGCTCAGACTGAAGGGTGGACATCTCTTTCTGGAGCTTCTCCTTACGATCCAAAACTGTCGTCCAACAAAGAGAATCAGCAAAAAAGTCCAATAAATGATGTGGTAAATTAACAACCAATTTTATGGGACAGAGCCTGAGCAGTTTTTCTTTTCAATTAATTAATTTCTATTTTTTTTTTTATTTCAAGGGAAGGGTGCAATTAAAGTCTAATAATGGACTAGATCAAAATGGCTCAATTAAATTCTAGTGCTTCTTCTATTAGTGAAGTTTCTAGAAAAAAAAAAATATATATCAAAAGGCGCAATGCACCTTGGGTCGCTACGGAAACAGCCTCCTTGTATAATTACAAGGGTAAGGTCTGCGTACAACTGACCCCCCAGACCCTAACCTGTTGGGAATATACTGGGTATGTTGTTGTTGTAGTTGTTGTTGTAAGGGAAGGGTGCAATTAAGCGCCACATAAACAAATTGAATGAAAACAGAACAGTTTTGAGGAAAACAGCATGCTGCAATACACAAGCGGAGAATTAAAGAGAAATTACTAAGCAAAATTTCCCAAAAGATAAATACGACTACGTATTACTCAAAGATAGATTTTCCCCTTTTTTTTACTCCGCGCATTAACAGATAATAGGTTGGATTAGCTATTTACCTAGCTGAGACGACATGGCCGACATATACGCATCAAGTGCATCGCCAGCTTCAGCCACCTCATTTGTCTCTGCTGCTTCACCGTCCTCGAGAAGCAACTTTTCCTTATCTTGTATTTGCTTCGTAAGAGCATCCTTCTTATCAAGAAGAGAATCGGCTGTTTCAACTGATTGGTTTTCACCAGGCTTGTGCTTTGAGGACTTCTTTGTTCGATCGTAGAACTCGTCATCGTCACTACCGATTACGGACATAGTAAACGAACAAAAATTCAACAGAAAAACGTAAGGGCATTAAAATGGTCGCATTAAATATTCACTACAGTAGACATGCACCAGTTGACAAAAAGAAAACACAAATAGTGACTATGCTTCCCAACCCAGAATGGAAGAATTGTCTACTTCACAAAAAGGCTGACATAGAATGACATCAATTGAAACTTAGAGCACCCACCACAATGCATTGGGCCCAATTTTATATATGTGGCATATAAATGGACTTAAGTCCTGAATGACATGGACAAACCCAAGTAAAAAAAACCCAAAAGCTATCCAATACAAAAATAAAATACTAGGTCTAGAATACCTGTCAACCAATAAAAATGATTTAATATATTTTCTCTATTAAAAGAAAATTAAATTAGGAAAAAATGATGACTGTTCAGGTTTATACTTGGGTCCAAAATAGACTAAAGAGTGGACTTGGAAAACATTTTTTTTTATAGACTAAGCCTATTTCCTTTTGTCCATTGCAAATGGAGCTGGAAGAGTCATTGTTGACAATTCTCCTGGCATAGTGCTAATAATGGACTAGATCAAAATGGCTCAATTAAATTCTAGTGCTTCTTCTATTAGTGAAGTTTCTAGAAAAAAAAAATATATATCAAACGGCGCAATGCACCTTGGGTCGCTACGGAAACAACCTCCTTGTATAATTACAAGGGTAAGGTCTGCGTACAACTGACCCCCCAGACCCCAACCTGTTGGGAATATACTGGGTATATTGTTGTTGTTGTTGTAAGCATATTTCCTCATGACATGTGATATTTTTTTAAGAGACCCAAAGTATTGTGGGTGCTCTTAGTAATCAATCTCCAACTTTTAATGGAAAAATTATGATACCTCAAATAATCTTCTTCATCATCGTCCATAGCGCCCTTCTTACCACGGGACAACTTCCCTCTTGCACCTAAACTTTCCCGAATACTTTCATTCAGCGTCTCTTCCAAGTTCTCAAGCTCTTCCATTATCTACGAAAATGAGTGTTAGAATTGCCACAAAATTAAAAAATGAAGATACCATGCATCTCAAAATACAGTAAATTAATTAATTAAAATAGTATCTGACACATCTTAGTAGACTGTCATGCTTCCAAATGCATTCTCCAAATCATGGCAGTTTCCATAAAAATATCTTGACATAGGTAGATGCAAGTCATTTCTTAAACCTATTGATTGATTATATAAAGTCCCATTCTCAAATGAGTTGACAAAATAAACTCCCTTCTCAATTATCCACCTAGAAAAGAGGTGCAGGGCGAAAACACAAGAGGATCAGGAAGAACAGCATGAGCAAGAACCATCACAATCTAATAGGTTTCTTTCATGTTAACCATTGTAATGTTATATTACCTGTATTTCCCAGTAATGGAGTGCAAGGTATACATACACAATTGTAAGGTTCGGTAAGAAAGGATCAAAAACTTAATTTATGGGATCATCATATGATATATCCCAATCTATACGATATTTACAATAACAATCATATACCTGTGACATCCTTTGCTCATTTCTAGCAATCTGAGTTTGTTGTCCTTGTGTCAAGCCACCTTGAGCAATATCCTTCGCCCGTATTGCGTCAATCTCTTTCTTCATGTGAGCAATCTACAGATGATGAAAAATTCAGTACTCTACACATTATGAAATGCTTACACATAATGGAGCATAACCCAAAAGAACTAAAATTGAGAATTCCTGCTACATCCCTCAGAGAACTAATAAATAAACTTGTACCTGTAAGTTGCGACAAGTTAAGCTACATAAGCTACAACATTCATCAAGACAACAAGAAATTTAACTAACCTTTTCAAGTCTCTTGATAACTTTCTCTCGCGTCTTTTCTTGCTTCTCTGTCAGCTGTCCTTTGTAAGTTTGCCAAGTTATTTCCTCGACATCATCCTAAATTTATACAAAATAATTTTCAGAATATATAGAAACCGCTAATTAAGATAAAATTTGAAACACAGAATTCTTAACTGACATGTGAATCATTGAACCAGAACAATAAATCTTGTCGGTAACAATACAATATACTATTCATAACTAGATCGACCAAACATATGGTGAAGAAATGGAAAATAACCTACAATTCAGAAATTGAGCAACACATGTATTGTAAATAAGTGGATCCTATTCTTTTCAGTAAAATAAAATATTACAACTGCAACTGCAGTGTCGGTAGTTATTCACACTACGTAAGCACCAGTACACTTGATAGATAACCAAAAAACTGAAAATTTACGGTTCATCTCAACTGGAAACCCCATGGCAAACACCGGAATGCACTAAAAAACAAGAGTTTACAGAGATTTCCCTGCTCTCACACACCCAAATCACTCAAATCCCTCTACGAGTATATGACATTCACTCAGTTCAAGCCCCCAAACTACTAGTTCCGGCACCTTAGTTTCTCTATTACCTACAATACACCCGAGAGAAGGAACAGAACTCGCTGCATCTATGTAGAGGATCTTCGAAGCCTGTTCCTTATGCTTATTCTATCTATATCGGCTACAAGTCAAACTACAAACAGGCCAAAAAAGGTTTGAAGTGAAGAGAATAAAATTCTCTCTAGTGTACCTTCTATCCTGTACACTCAAGCCTTGAAAAGCAACAATCACCTTATGTTGATTCATGCTAATAGAGAAAAAAATATGTGATGCAAACCTCATTTTCCTCAACAGCATCTTCTTGCATGCCCCATGAAATCCCATCTGCACGAGAAGCTTCAACTTTAGCTCGGAGAAGTGATGCTTCCATGTCTTGCCTCTCTTGTCGATTTTTTGCAGTTCTTAAACTCTTCAAATCAGCTTCCTTCAAAATGAAAACCACACAAAACATGCTCGAATATAAACGCCACAAAACCATGAATGTCACGTTTCACGAGAGATTAAACAAAAGTAAATGGTCTTAGTAAAAGCTATGTTACAGCTAATGCTATTGCATTTGAGACTATATTTTCAGGAACTTACTGGTGGCATCAGGTCAGGCGGCCCTTGGAATATGTACAGCCTTGATGATCTGGACACACAAAATAAACCCGGAAAAAAGGCATGACTGAAGGCTCCCAAGTTATAATACAATGTAAAAGCAATCATTACTAAAGAAAGCCTTCTCCAAAGGAATTAGTATATTACTAGTTTCCAGTTTGATAGCACAAGCTAAAATTGTTCAGCGTAAGAAATGCCTCAGCAGAAAGAAACTGTTGGATGACATAAAACCGAAAGTGATGGAAGAAAATAAATTCAAAACTTATGGAACTACTTACAGGCCGAACCGGATGACGTCACCAACATTCAAATCCACATAAACCCTCTTCTTTACCTGATGCATGAGTCAAAAAACGTATCACTAACGAGGGGGAAATTATATTCGTTGCAAGCGAATGAGTGGGAAATTATATTCATAGAACTGAGCTAGAATATGAACTAGACAGAGACAGTTTCAAGCACACATATTAAAATACATATAACCAAAACATCTACAGAGTTTCAAGCAGTGCATACGGTATAAATGACATGGGCCATACATACCTGATTCTTGTTTATAGATGTCCCGTGTGTGCTGCCAAGATCATAGAGATATGCACCTCCATTGCTCTTAAACTGAAGAACTAGCCCATAAAANAATAAAATAAATAAATAAATAAATAAATAATCAGAAATATCATGTTACATCAATAGATATTTGAAAGGTAAAACTAAAGCAGACATTTCTAAGACAATTGATGGTGTTTCCGTTTTGTCAATGACTTTTGCCTGAGGCAATACAAAATAAAAAACCAGACAAAACATAAACTACATAGGAGACGAGTTATGATGAATCAGATTATAAACATAGAAATACTCGGTAGGTCTTCTGTTTACCCGGCCTAACCATTAGACAGACATTTTTATCAAGAATGTGATGTCATACTTAATAAACAACATAAACGTATGTGTACATGTTCGTTGAAATAGTATGATGAGTTGACCCGCCTAATTGTTAGGTTGCCTCATGCAAGAATTTTTATCGAAATACTTTTTAGTATTTACATTACCCCACGAGAGTAACTGCCCATTAATTACAGAGGCATCACACTCTTCTCAGATTATTCTTATTCCACATGTCAACAGCATACCTAAAACCCCAACTGAGAGTAACAAATAAAAGACTACTTGAAATTTCAGAACTTGCTTCCATTGGAATGCCTCTCCAGATGAGCATGGAGAACATTGTATGTTCAAGAGGTGAAAAGGAGAAAAAGAAAAGACTTCCAGGAGAGCAACTGATTAAAATTTCAACCAAATAAAGCATAAACCCTTCATAGTTCATACAGCAACTTTCGAAGGCATAAAGAAAGAAACAAAGGGTGATTCAGGAATCTAGCTAAGAAACCATACCCGCATGAAAACGAGAAATGGTAGGATGCTCGAGCACAAAATCACAAAGATCCACACGACCAAACATGTAAGCTCCCTTCTCAGTCCTATAATAAGATATCAACCAGAAATGAAACGCGGTCAGATAAAATTCACAATCTCAACAGGCATCAATCATTTACTTGAGCTGGTCCATCGAAAAATATACAAAAACAAATTAAAAATATATATCACTTCTTCTTTTTGTACCAATCGTATAGATGATTACTAAGGTCAAAATTCAACCGATATCAGAAAAGAACTACTAACACATCATGTTGATCAACGATGGCGCCATCTTTGAGGACTTCGATGAAGAAGTGACGGTCAGGGGGGCCACTCCATGGAGGAATGGTGTACGGCACCGCCGCGTTCCTATTCCGTTGATCCTGTTGCTTCCCGTCACCGGAAGCTTCGCCGTCGTTTGAGATGTCAGTGGAATTAGAAATCTTCGCAGGCTTCCCCGTGGTAGTATCGGGAGGGGTAGGGTTTAATTCCGGTTCCCCGGGGAGGTTCTCGGAAGGCCCGGCGTAGCTTTCGGGTTCAGAGGGGTTGGGGTTTCTGGGCGGCGGAGGATCCATCGCGGCAGGTTTTGCTGAATCGGAGGTGGAGGCCTCGTCAGCGACGATTTTGGGCGGGGGAGGGGCCATGGTGGTAGTCATGGTGTGTACCGGTTGAACTTGGTGGTGGTTCAGGACTTCAGGTCGCTAACCTCGCTAATATGAAATATTATCGATGATATCTTGGGCCAATCATTCATGAGTTGGCCCATATAGTTATGGACCAGTCAGCCCAACTCAAATTCTGAGTTTCAATATCAAGGCGAAATTTTTTACTTACCACAAGATACAAAAGAAATTGCAATCCTACCATGAGAAGGATTTTATTTGTATATGTACCTAAAAAAAATGCATTTAATATGGAAGAACAAAATGAATCAGTTACCAAAATAACACACTTTCTATAATCACTTCCTATAACCACGCCATTAGCTCATTAATTGTTTTGAAGAAAAAAAAGAAAGTCTATAAACTCAGTCATCTTGATGTTATATACACGATCTGTTTTTGAAAAAAAAAAGGAAAAGATCAGATTTTGATGTTATATACACGATCTGTTTTTGAAAAAAAAAAGGAAAAGATCAGATTTTGAAATTACACGATCTAATACTCAAATTGACTCTAATATTTTCTTGTACTGAAACAGAAAATACACGATCTTTTCGTAATATATACATTATATATACAGAAAATATATACAGAAGATATATACATAATATTTACGGATTAGTTTATACATAATATATTGAACATATACGGTCCGATCTTTTCATAATATATACAGAATATATACAAAAAATATATTCAGAAGATATATACCGATTTGTTTATACATAATATATACATAATATACTGAACATATACCGTCTATACACACAACATATACTGTCATCACCAGTTCACAAAAAAAATGGAATAAAGAAAGGCTGATCACGGAGGAGGCTCCTGGAGAGGCGACGGTGGAGGTCGGAGAGGGTGGCGTAGCGGTCGACGACGACGATGTGAGTATCGCCGCCGACATATCTGAGGGCCTTGTCGTGGGGGAGTGGTGGAGAGTTGTGGAGCCTCCATGGAGGAAGTTGAACCGTTGGAAAAAATGAGAGAGAGAAAATATCACAGGTAGTATAATTAGTAAAAAGGAAAGAGAGAAAAATGGTGAGAGACAATTTAATTGTTAGTATAATTGCAAAAAAAAAAGTAAATGATGAGTAAATGTGCAAATAAAATTGCTTTTGATGGTAAGTGGTGTAACTTTCTCCAATATCAACTAGGTGGTGTAAATGAATCGGACTCGATCTCCAGTAAGCTTTATAGAGCCAAGCATTAGCTGAACAAACCAATAAACGAGTTCAAATTTGGCTTGTTTATATACATATCAATGAGCCGAGCTTGAACCTTCACGAGCCAAACTTGAACTTTAAAGAGACGAGTTTTCCAAAAATACATAATAAATCGAGTTAACTTAACAAACGAGTTGAACTCACAAATGGTTCGTTTCCCTTAACAACTCTGTTATCAACTTCGGTTTTTAGACGGTTTTTGGATGTAATCGCAGTTTCGGAAAATTTATTGCTGGATTTTCCTAACAAAAAAAAAAAAAAAAGCTCTCATGATTTGCATTTATTATAGAAGACAACCTCAAAGAAAAGATGCCGCATCCATCACAATTTTGAGTATACTAATAATAGGGTTTACAATGATTCGACAAGGANTGGGAAAAAATGTTTCTGGAAAACATCATTAGCCTCATGGAGGGCATTTTATTACAAATTACAATTCCAAGCAAAACCAAAGTACAAGCACATCATAAATATGAATATAATACACAAAATACATTTATTTTCTCAAACACATTATATGTCCATCAAACTCTAGCACCACACACAATAAAAAATTAAAAACAATACAATACCATAGGATATATATATATCCTAAAGCAACTCTTTACATTTCAAGACACAAAATACTCAACATACACATTGAGTAGAGTTTACTTCTTATATGCTATAAAAACAGCAACAGCAAAATAATTATTCTCACTCACGATGAGAGGGGCTTTTCTTGAACAATGCATAGGCATCACTGTATATTGCAACCAGGTTGGAAAAGACAGCAAGAACAATCATGAAAATGGATAAGATCTTGTCCCTGTTTGTGGCTATGCCATATCGGTCCCTGCACGAGCAAGAAATAATATTCGACGCGTGATTATAAATTTAGGATAATGGAAAATGTGGTACCAAATGAATATATGCCAGCTTTCGGATATCTAATATTGACATTTATGACGCGAAGTCATCAGCCATCAAAATAACATTATGTAGCTCTCTATGCCTTGCCTTATAAACATTTGTTTTGCTTGAAACTACTAATAAACAAGGATTTACATTTGCTTTATATGATGTAGGCTGCAATAGCTCAAATTTTCGTCGTGAAAGATTTCCACCATATTTCGGTAACAAATTTACCTAATAAAACTATATGACCACTTCAAAAGGTAATATTATTATATCACAGTCCACCGACTCACCTTAAAGTAATGGCAGCAGGAAATATAAAACCGATGCAAACGGCTGCAGTTGCTCCTGTGAACTGGAAAGCATCCCAAATGCTCGGTATGAAATTTGCGCCCAGAAAAATCATGCTGATAAGCCCAATGCTAAGGGATGCGAACCTTAGATTGTCTGAGGTCAAAGGCCTTGATGAAGGAAAAAGGAGCCCGTCCAAGTTTAGTCTCAGAGGATAGAATACAATGGGGAAAACGAGCATTAGGTGAGCCGCGTAGCTGACTCGGACGGCATCATTGAGAAGGGAACCAAACGGGATTCCGAGATCGGTCGAGAAGTTGGCCAGCACATCGTCCAGGGTGGCGTCGCCGAATAAGAGGAACCCGAAAAGACTCGTCATTATATATATGGTCGAGCATAGGGCAAGGGAAGTTCGCACGACCCCCTTGATTTGAGTATTGTCCTCGAGCTCGTTGTTTATTGAGTGGACTGCAAAAAAATAAAAAAAAATGTCATGAAGTTGTTTTAGATATGGAAAGTTCATATCAGGGCCCAGATTTTATGTTTTTATTTTTTCTTTTCTTTTCGGATTTCTCATTTCTGGGCTCAAGNTCCTTACAGCAGCCCTGAAAGCTTTTCCTCGAGAATATTTCACCCAAAGAGAAGATAAAAAAGTGCAGACATAAAAAATTTCAATTTCAACACATACCATTGTAGTGGCAGATGAATGCAGTGACCAGAACAGGGACAGCGGTGAAGAGGTTGAGGAATGAGGTCAGATTGTTGACATCTGGAAACAACCGAGGCATAAGAGTAGTTCCATTTATCAACTTGAAGAGTGTGATTCCCACGGTTATAACAAGGAACACTACAGCCAGTGCCACAGATAAAGCAGATGTATATCTCAACGAATCTGCAAAGACAAAATGGTAGTGAATATACTTGCAAAATCTGTTATTAAAAAAGATCCAAAATCTGTTTAGTATTTTTATTTTCTTGGTCAAGATCATGAATTGCAAATTAATGGCACAAAGTGTTCACTTTTAACAGAAAAGTGTATATTTCGGGGAAAAATACACTATCATGCACCCCTCATGCATTAACAACTCTCCATAAACCCACTCAAATGGGCCGTCGTATATGCAATTACATGAACAAAAATAGTGTAACAAAGCTTAACCGATCCAACAAAATCAAAAACCATTCTCTATCGTGCTGCAACTGAACACAACTCTCAGCAACAGAATCCCTACTAATGACAAAAAGCTCACCAATTCTCTTTAAGGTGGCCAATGGTGCAAATACGGCTAGTGTTGTAATAAGCAGCACGAAAAATCGCCCGTTCCACCAATGTTCTCCAAACCAACCTTCCAGAACACCCGCGTGATGAATTCCATCGGAAGTTGTTCCAGAAAGCACATCGCCTTTAAAAACCGACAAAAAATTCCATAAGTTCATCAATCACCCCAAAATTAACTCAAATACACACAGGCATATAAATTCATATTTGATATAGAATTACTCATANAAACATCAGTCAACTCAAAAGGGTACCTATTATAATCATGTACACCACAAGAACACCAACATTGTTGACCAATACACACAGCTGAATCAACATCCTTCCGTACTTTCCAAATGCATTCCCCATAAGACCTCCGTAAGAACCCGACTTTGATGCCCGGCTGAACCTAAGCACTAACTCAATCGAGGCCTCTGTCAAGAACGCCATGAATATGATCATGGCAATCCCCAGAAAGAGCCCCAAAACCTTCATGGTTGCAGGCAGAGCCATGATACCAGCACCAACTACAGTAGTCGATAAATTAAATACGGCCCCACTAAAAGAAGCCCCATTGAACTCATCAAATCCACCATCTTCCCCATGTTTCGTGGGCAATAACGGTGATTTCTCATCGACTATTGGTTGTTTGCTCTTCCTCGACTTCCTTTCTTTGGTTGGTTTAACGCTTCCGGTAGTCATCTTCAAATTATTCGTCAAGCTATTCAAATAGAGATTGAATTTGAGAGTGTAATGACAGCAGACAAGCTCTTGAACTTATGAAGCAAAACAATCTGCACAGAAAGCTTGCTACTTTAACATCTAATCCATAAAATTAATCAGGGTTGTGAATTATTAAAAAATAGTAAGAAAAAAAACTTTACAAGTTCTTTAGATTCTCAACAGCTATTAACCGCAGTTTCTTAACTGAGCTGCGCTCGAAGAACTATTGAACTACCTTAAAACCCTTCAATCAAACTGAGGATTATAAAATCTACACCACAGAATTCGAAACACCTAATCCAATACCAATAACGAAATGAATTCAGAAATCGCCAAATAGGGCAAATGAGAGATGAGGGAAAACTAGGATTATAAAAATGGAAAGAAGATATAAAATTGGTCACGCAACATTCAAATTGATAATAAATAATTGATTTCAGCTGTTTAGATGAATGATTGCTTTCGTGTGACGAATGGGGCACGCAAAATTATCCAACCTTTTTTTTTTTTAGTTTTAAATTGTTCAATACAAATAAAAACTTGGAAAAATCTGCGAACTCTGTTAAAAAGAAAAGCAGTAAATTTTGCAATCCCTCTTTTTCTTCTTCTTATTTTGGTTATCCTTTTCTTGAACTGGGTGCGATTAACTTTGTAGGCGGTTGAACGACTGGCCGGAGGCGTCGTTTTCAGTGGGCCCTTTTGAAACTGGCCGTATAGAAGATGAGCCCACCGCAAAAGACTTGACGCGGTGTTTGATTGGAAATGAAAAAAACAAAAACGAAATCAAGACCAAGAAGAAAGACACGAGAAGGCAGTAAGAACGTGAACTTTTTTCTTTTTTCCCCCGATTTTGCGGTAATTGTTTTAATATGGTTTTTCTGTTGTTTCTAAATAGCCGTTTGGATACGGATATAACCGGTTTTAATGAGTTTTATAAGCTATTTTATTTAATAAACTTTTAATTCAAAATTAATCCAACTCAACTATCTATACTGTTATCAATATAATTAAACAATATTAATTAATTATTTTATATATCACATTAATTGTTAATTCATTAATTATTTATATAATTTTAATTAACTATCACTTTTATTACCATATCTCCTATTTTTATATTATATCAGCTTTAATTATTATATTTTAAATATTATTTAATTACAAACTCAAAATCATTTAGTCAATCAAGAATATTCGAAATAACTCACTTTAATCAACCGAATCCAACCAAAATGATCTATATCCAATCACGCACCTCTTTTAATTGATGCACGGGGACAGAGAAAGAGTAATTCTCATAGGATTGTCCGTTTGAGCCTAGAAAATAATAGACTTGGATCATCTATTTTCCACATCTTTTAATTGGTGTTTTTTTTTAGACATAACGTTAAACTTGAGTCTTTTAGTTCTAGCATGTAAATTAATTAATATATTATCCTGTTAATATATTTATACTCATAAATATTTGGTTTTAATATTATATTCATTCCCTGATATAAGGAAAAATAACAATTTTACTTATTCTTTTTCACCATATAATACTTAATTTACTATTTTATTATAAAATTTGTTGTCATGTAATGTCATTATTATTATTTATAAAAATTATAGAAGTAGTCTACTAATTTTTTTTATGTAAGGAAAAATATTTAATGTATGTTATATTATTTATTAATTACATTAATTTAAATTATGTAAATAAATTTAAAATAAAAATATTGTGTATAAATATTTTAAAAAATATACACACATGGGATTTTATAATTTTTTTTTTTATAAAAATTAAACAAGTTTGATTTAGTAATTGTCAAATACTAAAGCTCTTCTACAATCAAAAGATTTTTCTAATTTGCATCCTAATGCTTTATAGTTTATTTAGCATACTATGCAATGGAAATATATTTTACAAGAATCAATTATATCATAAAAATTATGAAAAAAAAAAAGTAATCATGGTTGACAATAATATACAAATATCTCCATCGTTTCGTTAAAAAAAAAGACAATAATATACAAATAAATCAAATATTGGAATTCTAAATAATAGTAATATATATAAATTTTATTATTTAGTCATTAGTAGAACTATTTAATGTATATGGTCATTATCTCTTAAATGGTAATTATATTAATTTAAAGAATAATTTTTTATATATAATAAAATAAAGCTTAAGAAAAATTTATATAGGCAAAGATTAATTTACCAGCTTGATTTCACCTGATTAATTAGAAGAAGAAAAAATTATCTAATCTGTTACGATTTTCTATAAATATTTTAGGATAAAAAGTCTATATTTATAAAAATAGTAATAATAATATGGTTAAAACTTAAAATATGTTTTCATATTATCGTGACCAATATATTATCAACATGGATCACGAAGAATCAATTTTGTAGTTTATTATCATGGATATCAATGAAATTATTGCAAATATTAGTAAACTTATTCAAGGAAATATTTTTTTGATCATAGGTGATATTTGATCTCATTTGAAAACGTGTATATGCATGCAATTAATGCACACACACACACACACATATATATATAGGGGTTNATATATATATATATATATATATATATATATATATATATATATATATATAATAAGGATAAGGTTAATTCACTTTTAGAAATCATTTCCCGCCAAAAGCATTAATTACTTATTATAAATGTTAATGATCTAATTTAATACAAGTGTAACGCCCCAACCGGTTGAGAACTGCCTCGCGCTCGATCTCCTCGCCGGTAGAACGCCGGAACCTGCACAAAACTCTCACACCGGGGGGATTTTTCAGTGAAGAGCCTCCAACGCTCAAGTCAGTCTTGAGAAATGTTATGAGTAGTAATGGAATATGAGAGATTGTTTGTAAAATCATAAGGTTCACCCCTTTATATAAAGGGTGAGATACATGTTCTAGAAGCTGCCCAGATTTGGTGACCTGGTTGCCCTAGGGCTGCCCGACCTGCCCAATAGTACAATCCACTACATAGGTGTCAGAAATGTGTCAGAAACAGTTATCGGTATAGACCAATCAACTCATACCACATGTCCCACGCACGTGTATTAAAGATTTCCTTGGAGGCTCTTATGTTCGACCAGATCTGGATAAGCTATGAAGCTGATTCCTGTCATATGAGGTGGTCGATCACCCAATCCTTTGCTCGCCTTCGACCGAATCTTCTACGAGGCTGAGGCTGGTCTTCTTTCCCAAGGCTCCTGTTGCTATGGCCTTTGTTCACCGTTGGCCCGCGTGGACTCCAGTCCACTAAACCCATTATTCCGGTTTACTCTCCTGACCAACTGGACTGGTCTAAGGTATAATATCCCATATCATCTAGTCTCCCCCACTCTGGTCGAGTCTGAATGACTCGATCTAAAAGTAGACCTTCGTATGTCTTTTGACCGTCGTGGTTTCCTCTATCATCTTCGGCCAAACTATGGAGATCTGTGTTGTGGATGAACATGTATCATTTCTCATATTAACATTATACGATGTTGGCTTGTACCTGCCAAAATCTATTTTCAATCGTCGACAACTTTATATTACCATATTTAGCGTCAAGAACCGACTAAGCTTGAAAATTTTGTGCTGCTACAAAGATGAAAAAATTGTAAAAGATAACTAATAATGTTATGTGCAAAGAAACTTTTGAGAAATTGAAATAAAATACCAATGTACGTAGTTGTTTTACAACTACATTTGTTTAATTTTTATATACGTACATGTTCGCTAATTATTTTCGCTATCCACAAGTGTGCGGAGTAACTATAGGTAGTGGCGAGCAAGGTCGTATTCCACAGAGATTGTAGTTAAATTAATTAAATACTAAAATAACGACGATTAAATATTATCTAGACTAGTGAATTGAATGATGATTCTAAACTAAGAATTAAACTAAAAACTAATTTATCTAAACAAATAAAATAAAATAAGATACAAAAGGTAGATTCTAGGCTAAGCGTTCCTCGGAATTAATTCATGAAACGTTTATATTCAAACAAACCTTATTTAATTTTTCCAATCGTAGAGATAATCGCTAAATTGATTTCAAACCTTTCTCTCGAACAAGTCAAATCGTAGATATTAATTGTTATCTATCTCCTCTCGGTCTCAAGATGAACAACTAACTCCCATAAGTTCCTAGGATTTTCGTTCTCTCGCAAGGTCCTATCAACCTCTCGGTCTGTTTATTCTCTTACGTTATAAATCTCCCAATTCTAGCAACCAATTATCTCCTCTCGGTCTCAAATCGATCACAAATATGCATTCATAGTGGCCATCTACTCACACAATAATAATAAGCAAAAGAAATTTATAAACGAAAGATAAACCGGAATGAAATAAATAAAAACTAAATCATAAATCAATTCGAGTACTAACAAATCCTAGAATCTAAGATAAATCTAGCCTAAAAACATGTTTTCAAAATAAGAAAAATAGATATAAAACATTGAGTTCGAAAGAGGAAAAGAGAAAAAGAAAGAAAAAGTTTATTTGGCTCCGTCGATCCTTTCTTCCCGGCTTTCTCCCTCGTCTTGCTCGTGTTTCTAGCCTCCAAGAGTCTCCAAAGATGTGAAAATTATGTCCCAGACTCTTCAAAAACGTGTCCAAAGGTTGTATATATAGTTGAGGTCGAGTCCTAGTCGAAATAGGTCGAAAAAGCCGAAAAAAATAGGAAAACGCGCAAAATCCGATTCTAATGCGTCCAGGGCCATACGACTCGTGTTATAAGCCACACGAGTCGTGTGGAAAAGTCGAGAGCAGGTATCACGACTCGTTAGACCCGTGTGTACCTGGGAGTTCAAAACAGCCTCAAATCGTCGTTTTCAGCTCGTTTTTCATCTCTTGGTCGAGTTTCCGGCGTCCCAGGTGGTCGACAGGCGTCCCAGTTGGTCCGGCAGCAAGACGTGTTGCAGCAACTCATCAATGGCGATTTCCGGCCAGCCCTGCGGCTTGCACTTCCTCCGGCGCACAGCTACTCTCCGGCGATGGACTGGTGGCGACGGACATAAAGGTGGTCTACGGCGGCTGGTTAGCGGCGTGGTGGCGCGGTGGTGAGCTACTTCCAGTATGGCCATGGCGGAAGAAGCAGCGTGGAGAAGAAGAAGTTCAGCAATTCAGCATTTTGTCTCCGAATTTACCATATTACCCTCCACTTAAAGCACATGCGGGCTGTCCTGTTTGGGTTTTATCATTTGGGCTTAGTCTCCTTCTATATGGACTGCTCATAATTTACTTGGGCTGATTCTGTGGGCTGGCTGATTTATCCTTTTTCATTAGTCTACTAAGATGGACTCTCTGGATTTCACTTAAGCTCTTTCGCGCTCGATCCCCTTTTTCTTTCTTGTCAGCAGTAAACATCTCCTCTACCCTTCATTTTGAAGCAAGCAAGTAAACTACTTCTCTTCGTTGCTTACCTATTACTGGTTCAGGCAACGGCAGCAGACCTTTTACTTTACTCTAAACTCAGATCGCTAGTACTCCCCTCGTTTAAACGTTTAGGTTTAAAAGGAGTAAATGGGAAGGAAAACCAGGGATATGGCAAGCTCACGTCGAATACGAACGCCTCTCTCGACAAACTAGCCCACGTCAAAAGAAGAGTTTGATCCCGGCTCAGCCAATCTTCTTAGCGGTTAATGGTGTATTGTTCAGTGATGGGACTGGGGTTGGGGAGAGCATTTCGTGCTAAAGGTGGTTAATCCGACGAGTCAATTCGTCAAGGTTTACCTCAATCTTCTCTGCTCGTTCCAAGTATTACACTCGCTCACTCGCTCTATCGAAAGGACCTTACCAGAAGCGAGATAACTGCTATTGGCTTTCTTCTAATAGGGTCATGTAATTCGGTCCGTTTTAATGTACAACTCGCACAACGTCTTCAACCGATTCTTAGCGTT